ATCGCTGTGTGGTTCGAGGAGGCAGACAAGATGGCCATTTTTAAGAGTACTGTAATTTGAAGGATGAAAAGCAGTTAAGTCAATGGCACATGTCACAAAGGACAAGAGGGAAGAAACCAAGTCTGTTTCTTTGGTAAAGCTTTAAAGTGCTCCTTTTCTCTAGAGCACTTTACAGTTTTCCTTCAGGTCTCCACTTTATTCCCTGTTTGCACAGTATCAGTCACGTCACTTGATAAATGCTTGTTGGGTGAATAAATGACTGTGTAACCCTCTCAAATCTATCTTTTTAATTTACACCCCAAATTCACTTTTTTCACTGCTTATAGGCTATTATGCAAAAAACATAGGCAAGTACTTTAATAAATTACAATGTTTTCTCTATTGAACAAATATCTTTTGTTTTCCTGTGTATATTTAAAAAACTACTTTAAAATTAGTTTTACATGTCATAGTTTGTTTGTTTTTTAATGGTGTTAAAGTGCTAATAAACTAGCATAGATCTCCTCCTAAGCCCCAATCCCCACAGGAAAACATTTCACTTTTCTAGAGGTTGTTTTTTTATTGCACTTACTTATACATTTCAACATGGTTGTTTATCCTGCTATTCCTTTATGTAGCAATCTCACATATTATTTATTGATTCTATGTTATAATAACTGAGGGCTTAGTTCCCTTACATACACACATACAGGTGACCTTCCTTATTCCCACCCTGTGCATATTGTTTATTATAGTTTATGGTTACTCTCTTGTCAGTGTTCCCATTTCTCTGATTACATCTATATCTTAATGAAGTGGTATATTATCATTATGTTTTCTCTCATAATTTTTTGTTTGTCCTGCAGTTATAATACCTTTTTTTTCAGTTTGTTTAGTATACTTTGTACCTACTGTAAATTATTTACAGATGTCCCTAAATATTTCAAATTGTAAGTCAGAATAGTATAACTGCTATCTATAACAAATAGCCCAAAAAATCTCAGTGGTTTTACATGGTGTAAGTTTATTTTTTGTTCATGTCACAGTCTAATCTGTGGCAGCTAGGGTTTATATGGGACACAGCCATTCAGTGTCACAAATTTTTTTCATCTTGGGGCTGTAATGTCGTCTAAGGTCTCAGAACTCCTCACTGAGGCTTTGTGTCTGGATGCTAATAAAGAGAGAGGAAAGCGTAGAGGATCTCACAGGTCATTTTATGGGAATGGCCTGGAAGTGGTGTACGTCACTGCTACCCACATGCCACTGGCCAGAAGTCAGTTACATGCCTCCTACCCGCAAAGGGCTAAAAAATGAAATCTAGTGGGGTACTTAGGAAAAAGAGAACATGGAATTGGGTGAGTACTTCTAGTCTCCACTGCACACACAGTTATCAATAATCATTCAAATGGGCATGTGCATCAAATAATTATTTTCTCTCTCTTTTTTTCTTGGAGACTTTCCTACTGCAATCCATCCTTCTGTTTATCTCTAGGCCTGCTTCACAAATGTTGCTCTGGAGAATTCACTTGACTTTCTCCTGTGTTGGTTCTGCATTTCCTGGGTTCCATCTTTTCCTCTTTCTTGATTTATAAGTTTGTTTTGGGGATACTTCTTTAAAAATGGTATGAGAAGTACATGTTTGAATCCTTGCATGTTTGAACATATCTTTAACCACACTTAGCTAACATTTTGCCTGGGTATACAATTCTAAGTTCAAAATATATATATTTTTAAATGTGAATTCATTTAAGAAATCTTCTCAATCTATTATTGTTCTTGAGAAATCTAATGCAATTTTTATTCTGTTCCTTTGCATGTGATCTGCTCTGTGTTTCTGGAAGATGTTTTAGGTTGTCCTCTGTATTCCTGGGCTTCTAATGTTTCAGAATGACGCATTTTGGTTTGTTTAATTAATTTATCTATTTATTCTCCTGGACTTTTAGTGGAACTTTTGATTAGATTCAAAGATTATTTTTGCATTATTTCTTAAATTAATTTTTTCATTCCTTTCTGGATAAAAAAAAAAAAAGAAAACAATCTTTTCTGGAACTCTCTGGGATTTCCATTAGTCAGAAAAATTTTCCTTTTCTCCAATTTTCTATTTTTATAGCTTTTTGTTCTATTTTCCTGAAGATGTTTTCAACTGAGTCTTCTAACCCATCTGTTAGATTTTTAAATTTTGGGGTATATTTTCAATTTCAAGAGTTTTTTCCTGTCTTATAGATACATTTAAAAAATTCATTTTCTGTAGCAGCAGAGTAAAAAATGCATGTGTTTAGCTTATCTTGTTAAGCCACAAATTACTCTAGTTTACTTTCTCCAGAAAATAAACCTCCAGTCTCCTGGAGGCTGGGCTGAGCAGATGGAGGAAGTTAGAGCTGGTTGATTGTGTGGCAGTGGGGAAGGAAACTTTGCGTTCAAGCATTCTGTACACAGACATCTGACCAAACCCTGTTCACCCCACCAGCTGGCCTCCTGCAATGGTGGTGTTTCTGCCTCCTAGGCCTGAGCCTCCCAGGGCTACGCAGGGAGAATTGCTTATGGGTATGTGGTGGATTAACCCAAGCCTCCATCTGACTTAGATTCTTCCAACCATCTATTGCAGTTTATTTTGTTTTTTTATTGCTCCTCTCCCTTTTATTTGTCTTCAAGATTTAATGACACTTAAAATATCCATTCATTCTCGTGTTAGGGGAGTTTGGGGAAGGGGAGCTGAAACACATGTGATCAATTTGTCACTTTTCTCTAGAAACCTCCCATGTACTGTTTACCTTGGTGCTATAGTTATTGCATGATAAACCTACTGGCAGAAATTACATCTATTTGATTTGTGCTACATCAACTTCAGGGACAGGAAGGCTTTTATTTTTTATTATGTCACAAGATGTTGTCACCTTGTTTTCACTGGTTTCCCGGGGTCTTTTACTCTGCTCGACCTCTGTTCAAAGTGTCCTTCATAAAGTGGCCAAGAGTCCTTTCTTTCATGTTCTCCCAGCCGCCTTTCCCCCTCAGCACCCCTTTTCAGAGGGAAGGGAAAGTTCATCACTCTGAAGCAGCCGAGCAGCATCACTCTGTAACAGGAGTGCCTGTGAGCCTCAGAACCTGAAAGACAGGACTTACTCGGCCAGTGACTGCAGGAGAGCTGTCCCTGTAAGAGTTGACCCTACCAGGCAGCTGACACACTGATCTAGGGGACGGTGACAAGGAGAGCAAGCCCTAAATCTGCTAGACTTTCTCACAGCAGGAACTTTTCCTAGATAGTAGGGAAGCAAAGTTATAGAGTGACCATCATGAGCCCTGCCTTCAGGATGAATGGATCTGAGTTCTATGTTTATGGACCTTCACGAGTCTGGGCACTTTGTTAGGACTTTTTTAACCTCAGTTTCTTCATTCTTAAAATTGGGACAATAAAAATGATAGATGCCTTGGCTACTTCAAAGCGATGCTGTGAAAGTCGATTGAGATGATCTATGGGCAAGGGCTTTATAAACTCTACTGCATACAGGAAATAATAGCTGTTCGGATTAATGTGAGTGAGCACATGAACTAGGTAAGTACAGATTATCATTGTATAGTGCAGAGCATTATTTTAAATTAATGTGCTATGAAAAGTGAAATAAATTCAAGGTTGTTATGTTTACTCTTTTATCTCTTTCCAGGCGCAGGGCACACACTTGTTATATACTTAGATATTGCTGATGGATGCAAAATAGATTTACCACAAATATAGATTCCCATCATATCTATTCTGAAAATCTACATCCTGAACCTTCTGTACTTTCTCCTGGTAGATCAGAATAATTTGTATGAATTGGAACTTGCTTTGTGAGAATGAAGCAGATAAACGCTACCAAAGTAACACATTTAGCCAACACATGCATAGCATTTTCTGTGTCACACACTGTTCTATGCACTTTACTGATATAAACTCATTTACTCACAACCCAACAAAGGCGTTTTATTACCCCCATTTTCAAGATAAGAGCATTGAGGCACAGGAAGGAGAACTTATTTTCCTAATAGAATAGACAGATTCTTGCGGGATCCACACTCTTCTCCACTACCTCGCTATTGTTTGTTCGTGCTTCGCTTTGGTTTGGGGGAATTCCTTTAGCCCCTCCCGCAGCATTTCTCTGGGAGATGCTTCCTAGCTGCTTCTCTAAGGCACCCTGTCGGAACTGGGTCAAACACTTAAAATTTAAGCATTCATCTCCTTGTTGACCAACATGAGTACAAGCAACAGGTTCGGAACTTTAAATTTTTCTTCATGGAGGAAGAAACCAGCTGCCATCGGATGCATGTGGCCTTGGATTCTTACCCTTACCATCAGTCTGGAAACGAGGGATGTGAGTCTGTCTGAAACGTGAGCTCAAGAGAGCCAGCCAGGATCTCTGTTGTGGACAATTACAAAGCGTCTAGGACAGGGTGTGACACACAGTAGGTACTTAGTGTTTGTTCAGTGAATGTGTGTTCTGATTTTGTTTGATCTCATAGACAGGACATCCAGTTAGTAACCTCCTGATCTCTGGAGTGCCTAGGAGGCAAAGATTAGCCTGGTGCATACTGATTAATGGATTCATATCTACAGATCCTCACTTCTCAAACATGAATTTCCAACTGCCCTTCCATCTCCCGAGGCTTTCCCTGCTCTCCACCGGCAATCGCTCTCCCGCGCTCTGTAGTTAATGAGCCATCCCAGCGGGGAGAGAAGGCAGCGCGTTGGCAGCGGTTCTCACAGCGCCCTGGGCGCTTTCAATAAAAGATATCAAAGAAAACACGCGAAAATAAAGGAATAAAAACGGGCTTGACGCTCCACGGAGGAGAATTTCACCGGGAGCCAGGCGCGCTTGAGTCACCACCGAGATTGGCCCGGGCGAGCTCCGCACGTCCGCGTCGGGCGGGAGACACGCCTCCTCCTCGCACAAGCCTCCGGATCCACGCGGCCGTGCGGGCCGGGGGCGGTGCCACAGTCCCGCCGCCCGCCGTCCACGCGCGCGGAGCCTGGCCTCCGAGGCAGAGCCACAGGTTGGAGCAGCGAGGAGCTGCCCCGTGATGGTCGCGCTGTAGAGCGGCCCCCGCGCCAGCGCTGGGGTGGAAGCCGGGAGTCCCGGGCTCGGGAGGGGAGGACGCCTCGGAAACCGGACGCCCGGAGCGCGCTCGGCGAACTTCGCGGGCGGTGAGCGGGGGAAGCCGGGCCGCGGGC